GACTGAGCGGCCTGTGGCGGGATGGAGACCGCCCTGCGGGAACCGGGGGCCGCTCTTGCGCCCGCGGAGACCGGCATGTATCTCGTCGGGAGCGTTGCATCGGTCGTAAGGCACGTTGTGCTCTCCCAGCGGCTCGGCCGGGGGAATTCCTGCCGTGTGCTGTGCCTCCGTGTCCGGATGCGCGCCCAGATTCCCGAATTACACCCTCCTCCCGCTCTGCAGTTTTGTGTGGCCATCGGGGTGTTGTACCCAAACTTCTGAAGCAAGCGGAACGTTGCCGGAGTAAGCTCGGAGCAGAAGGAGGAGGTCACCCGGTGGTTCGAGGAAATTGGGAAGCCTCTGGGGGCATGTCGAAGCACGTGGCTAAAGTGCGTGACGACTCAAAAGTCTTGGGGGAGAAAAAAATGACTGAAGGCAGATGTGACAGAAGGGCGTGCTGGGGCACAGCCGTTAGCAGAGGTCTGTGTGACTGTAGAGAAGATAAGGATGCTGCTTGGAAGCGAAAGGGTCTTCCTGCAATTAGTCATCGGTACAAAGGGCGCTGACGAGAAATCCGAACTAGGGCTTTGTTACCGTGCCTTCGAGTGCTGGAGTAAAGCGATTGCTCGAAGGCAGGAAGGTGCGGGTTCTGAAGGAGTTTAACTAGAAGTTGGATGGGCTGCAAAGAAAAACACGCATTTCAGTTAAAAGCGGAGTGGAGGGTAGGACCAAATTCTTTCTGGTCATTCTGGGAAGTTTCATGGAATTATGGGCCAAAAGCTGCAAATTTGAACCAAGCGAACTGAAATTTTTGAACGAAATTTTCAATTTCAAGTGAAATTGAAATACGGAAGACTCTGATACTATACAGCCTGATCAGCATTTGCAACAAAAGTGGGTTTCCGTTGCAGGAAAGCGAACTTACTTATTTTGTTGATGCAGAAAATAAAGACCGAGCACTTGGGTGTGTTACAAGTAAAATTGGTCTCTTGGATATTTCAGAATTCCCTGAAACATTTACCACCGCGCTTTATTTCACATGGCGTTCACAGCCCCGGTTGTAGTCAATAGGATTATTCGCAAGCAGAAGGGCTCACCGCGTTGTGCCCTAGCACAGTGCAGTTGAAACTTAACAGCAGGTCCGGTTCTGAGGAAGTAAGCCGAATGTTTTTCTGTCTGACTCCAAAAGATTTTCAAAATGCATCTACTTTAAAAATGCAACAGTAATTTTAGTAACGTTTCACTACTTTGACAATAGTTACACCCAGTGAAGGGAATCCAGTTGCTTTCTATGTCACGTCCTGGAGTTCCTCAGTTGGTTTGAACTGATCCAAAGATGACGTGACCCATCACAGGACAAGGACAGTCCTCTTGGCAGCGCTGTACGTCCCGCCATGTTCTTTCTGTACGTACTCTTTTGGGATGTAAAGCTCGCCTGCTCTCCGCTGCTCCTTACTGAGATGACAAAAGCTTTCTGCTAGGACTTCTGCCATGTACAGACAGATTAACTTCCATTTGCTCCTTCCTCCTGCGCCCCCCGACTTCCCTTCAAATTCACAGTTGTGATCCAGGTGCTGGAGGCAGAAATCCCTGGCAAAGTCTGAGAAGATCTTGTTACCAGAGAACAGGCACTGCTGCTTAGCTTTGCCTTGCAGCGTACGTGCCCAATAAGGTTTGTGTGTTAGAGGATGTACTTCCTTTGCCTCAGTTGCTCGCTGTTGGTCTGCTTCCCACGTAGGCTTATGTCGTGGTTTAACCCCAGCCGGCAACTAAGCACCACACAGCCGCTCGCTCGCTCGCTCACTCCCCCCCGTGGGATGGGGGAGAGAATCGGAAGGGTAACAGTGAGAAAACTGGTGGGTTGAGAGAAAGACAGTTTAATAGGCAAAGCAAAAGCCGCGCACACAAGCAAAGCAAACCAAGGAATTCCAAAAGCCGCCACACAAGCAAAGCAAACCAAGGAATTCATTCACTCCTTCCCATGGGCAGGCAGCTGTTCAGCCATCTCCAGGAAAGCAGGGCTCCATCACGCGTAACGGTGACTTGGGAAGACAAACGCCATCACTCC